TTTCCACACATGATCAACATGCTCATCAAATGACTGACTGTAGACCAATGTGTCATCTAAATAAGGGACACATGTCATCTCTCATTTCCTCCAAACACTCCTCCATGCAACGCTGGAAGGCGACAGGGGCGTTCATGAGTCAAAATGGAATCCTTATCCATTCATAAAGGCCCCATGGAGTCACAAATGCAGTTAAAGGCTGGCTGTCTTTATCCACAAATCCCTGATGGTAAGCCTTTCCTTGGTCTAATAAGTAGAACCACGAGTTTCCACCAAGACTGTCATGGATATCTTGGATGCGTGGTATTGGTTGTCTATCTGGATAAGTCTTTTTATTCAGTTCTCTGTAGTCTATACACAGACGTAGACTTCCATCTTTTTTTCTTACACATACAACTGATGATGCATAAGGTGAGTTAGATTTCTTCACCCAGCCTTGTGCAATCAGGTTGTGAAGATAGTTCTTAATCTCCTTATAAAGGGGTTTTGGTACAGACAGGTAAGTGCGTGCAACAGGAGTCAAGTCTTTCAATGATATGCTTAACTTCAGTTTTTCAATACAGCCAATATCATCATCAGATTTAGAAAAAGATGTACAGTCTTCACGAAGCATTTGCTGTACTCTTTCTTTCTCAGAGTCACTCAGATGGTTGAGATCAATAGGTGGGTCCCAAGAGTTATCCATTTCTTTAGCACTTTCTGTATTTACTTGACTGATCAGAACTGGTGAAGATTGAACACTGTCCTCCAATATGATTTTTGGATACACAGCCTCAATCGGTTGCAGTGTGCCCACTAAAGTTTTTCCTGGCAGTTCAATGTCATGATCAGTGGGATTTTGGACACCGAGAGTAATGTATGGCAGCACACATTTTTTAAGTGTTGTTACAGTCTCACAAAACTCAAGCCTTTCAGTCCACTGTGGATTGATCTCTGGCTCAAACAGAAGTACAGAGTCTGATTTTAAAGGTCTTGTTTTCACTTTACAGTCGATCAGAACTGAGGTGTGTTTTGGCACAATGACTTTTTCTTTAACGGTTTTTACAATATAGTCACATGACTCTCCAGTAGTTACCAAATCAACAAAAGTTGTGACATTTTCTTTTTCAAGACTTGGAAAGGCTATTATTAATGTCTCTTGTAACTTGTTTATGTGTGTCACGTTCACTGGTTCTGTAGTATTGGCCTTTATCATGTGTTCAATGACATTAAAGCCAAGAATGGGCTGTGGAAGTCCATTGCCTGTCATCACCAGCATTGGTACAACAATTTCTCTCGGTTCAGCGCCCTCTGCTGACAGTGTGATGGTAACTTCAATGAAACCTTTATATGGCATCCAAAAAAGTTCAATCTGGTCCTCTGGACATTCAAAAAAACAAAACAAAGCAAATCAACAAAAAATGTAGAAACGTTTCGTCTCTCATCCGAAAGACTTCCTCAGTCTGAGGTGCTGTATTCAGCTCAGTCTCTTAAATAGCACCTTCTCAGAGTGGATCAACCAGTTTGCTGCTGACAACCAAAACCAGCTGCTCACATGGTCAAGAAGGACCATCAGCCTAACAATGGATCATTAGCACACTGATGGCTGTTTACTATTCACAGAGGGTTGAGTGATACTAGCAATCACAGCATTGTAAGAGGGGGACAGTTGAACACGTAGGCCTCCACCCCTGTTTAATGATGGACAATTTCTTTTCACAAAGATGGCCTCCTTTACTCCTCTCTCAAACCATCGTTCCTCTCTGTCCAGGATGTGAACATCTTCATCCCTGAAAGAGTGACCGCTGGCCTAGAGATGAGTGTAGACCGCAGAATCCTGGCCTGATGATGTTGATCTTCTGTGTTTCTGTGCTTGATCCAT